ACAGCAAACACAGATAGGATCTCAAAAGACAGCAAGAATGAGGCTGGGCTTGCATTATGTTCAAGCAAGGGCAGCATAAACGATATCAAGTCTAAAACATCGCAAAGATGTTTTCTGAGTTTCAGACTATGTCAGAATACAGCAATCAAGTTGTACTTTGGTGCATTCCTCAAATTCTACTTGACCTCTGCAATTCCAATTCACTATTCACAAAAAATCTGCATGGTCTCAACCTGATCAATTAAGCTAGTCCCATACTGGCTAAAGAGATTTTATGAATACACATCTTTTGCAAGATGCCCACAGTGAGGTATAGAAGAGATTGAATATGTAGGTTATGGACATGCTCACGAAATCATGACTGACATATATCTAAATATATATACAATATATATATGTGTGTGTGTGTTTTTTTTAATAAACAGAGCTGGGGCGCAGTTGAAGACTGATAGTCAACAGCACATTGCTCCAGTCATTGTGCAGTATCTTTTTTTTTTTTTTTTTTCACTTCTGGGACCATATGCAGTGGAAAATATTCAAGGTGGTTTTTAAGAACATAATACACGTGAAGCTTGACAGGTATATAAAGCCATCAGATCTGTTTTGCTTAAGACAGACCAAAATACTTCATTTTGATAACTCAAGCCTTCTGACTAAATAGACTTCCTTATACCTTGCCACAGCGTTGGAAAAAACCCAAACTCATTCCTATTAATCCATCTATAGTTTTGGACAAACTTCCTGAAGAACAGCCCTCTCATTCATGATACATTCATCTTTCATGTACTCTTATCAGCTGCAGGCTATAGAAGAACAGACTTTGCCTGCCTTTAAATGGAGCCATACAAAGACAAATGTATGGAAGGAATCCCTTTCCCTCCCCAAGATGGCTCCCAAGTCTAGCCCTTATTGCATCCATCTACAGCATTAAGTATTCTAAAGGACATGCCAAGAGACAGAGCTGTGGCCCAACTTTTTCAAGCAGCTATCTAAATGAATGGATAAAGAAACAAGCCACAATCCACAGAAGGTTTAGTTACACAAAAGAGGCATATGAACGCTCCCAATTCTGACAAATGTGTCAGAATTCTCCTTATGTTCATGTTATATATTATCAAGTTATATATCATGTTATTTTCACCAAGATCCTAAATAACAAGTTAGTGAATATGTGTCACATGAAGACTTCAAAAAGTTAAAGACGCACTTTCTGGATCCCTAAATTTGTCTCATTAATGTATTTGTTTTTAATATAACCAGACTTGCTAGGAGTACAAATGCTCACTGCTGATGTTTGAGCCTATTCTGCTAGCTGAACAATACTGGAACATTATGTCAGTTGGAGATAGAACTGCGTAAGCATGTAAGAAGGGCCACGAGCTTTGCCAACACAAGTTATCAGGCAGAACCTCTCTGGAAAAAATGAGGCACAAAGATCCAAGTGAAGTGTAAAACATATTGAGAATTCAATGACATGTTGACAAATACCACTCCACTCTCTTTCCTTCTATCAGAGCCCAGCAGTGAAGCAAAGATTTCTAAGTAGTGTTTTTACAGGCCAGGCTTAGTCTCCCCGTCATCTTATCAGTAGCCTTCAAAGAGATTTTAGGTGGATCTCCTCCAGGAAAAAAGAAAAAACAACAAAAAACTCAGACGTGCCACCTCTTCCATACAAATATGCTGGTGCAATCACAGAGGCTTTCCTTAAGCTGCAAGACTTTAAGAAAACACAACTGGCTCTTCTAAAGGAGAAAAAGAAGAGTTCATGATTCAGCCATTAAACCCTGAGCGGCCTTAAGAAGAAGAACAGCTAAAGAGAGTGCCTAATCAGAACATGTGAAAATGAATACTGGCTTCTTGAATTATTTTAGGCAGGAAGGAACAGCTTAAGGTTCAGATGTTTAGTCACTCTTTCTGCCCAAAAAATACACTGAAGGCTGTGTACACAGGTGAGAACATAAAGGTAGGAGAAGGTTTTCCTCAGAATCAAAAGCAAAGTTCTTTTGGAAATACCATTTTTTATAAGTCTTCAAGTTATGATGCAAGGCAGATCTTTCTACACACTACTCAAAGTTGCCTAAAAGTAACATTTTCAGGACAATACATGCCATTGTACTGTTATTTTCTGATTTTGGTGCCGAATACAATTATTTAAGACTCTGCAGGAGAGTATGAAAGGAGCTAAAGTGTAATTCTAGTTCAGAAAATGTCCAATAACTGACAACACATAAGAAACAGAAGATAGATGCTTTGTATTGTCGATCTGAGCCTCATTGGCTGGAATCCTGACTCTCCCAGCAGGACTCAGTTACATAGCAACTCCTGAGGGCAGATTAACCCTTTCCCAGTAAATGTATTTGACACGATTCAAAACATCTTTCCCTCCTTCTGTTTCAAAACAATCCCGAAGGCCTGCCAAAAATATTTGGAAAAAATGAGTTTAACACTACTAGAGTAAAAGCAAAACTATCTAACTCACCATAGGATACCCATGGCACAACAAACAGACAACGAAGGGAGTTTAGATCAGTTTGAATTATATTTAATATAACTGGATGTTGTGATGTATAGAAAACACAGAACATACTTCTCATAAAATTGTTCATGCTTACTCTGTGAGGATCCTGTATGGGCTGCATTTACCAAGCACCAATAGTTTCACCTAAATTCTGCCTGCTCATCAACTTCTGTATGGATAATTACTGAGGCATTAAAAAATCCTGAGCTGATGCAGGTAATACTTAAATAATCTATATGAGAATTTTTTACCATCACAGAGTGTATTGCTTTCATCCCAAACTGTACAATGATCACTGTGAACTATTAAAAAACTGCAAATTTAGTTGTTTAGTTGTTTAGTAATCCTTTCTACTTACTGCCACCAAGTAATTACATCAGATTCTCAGTTTATCTCATTACAGCAAATGCATTACATTTATGTGTAATTGCATTAAATCTAAGTGTAAATATAAGCATAAGTGTATTAAATATAAACATAGAAGTTGGATATAAAAACTAACGTGATGATATTGCCACTGTCCTGGTTATCAGGGATAAGAGTTTGATTCTAAAAATGTTGAAAGCTCAGACAACAGACTCCTAAGGCTCTCTCTTTTTAAATCTTGCAGTTCGACCCTGTTGGCTTCCTACCCCTTTCGAGAGAATGGGATTGACAGGGGGACCTGGAAAGGCAAACATCCTCACTCAAGGCGTACGTTGTGCGATTACACTTCTCCACTGTGAGCCACAGCTGTGTACCATTAGGAAAAGGATTCATTAGGCTTCCAGTGGAGAAAATAAATGATCAGACTGATAAACAATTATTTCTGACTTTCTTCTGGTCACAATAGGTACAAACTCTGTACCTCATTTCTTCTTTTCACATTCCAAAATGGGACTCACAGTGCTAAGGGCACTAATCAAGTCTAGGAAGGAAAGGCACCACTGGCATGGCCCCATTTCAAACAAACTAGGACTCAAACTTTCCTTTCTCTGGAAGACATTCTCAGGGACATTCTCAGCTGATGGTTCAGAGGAGAAGCCTTGAACCAAGCCTTCCCGCACTCCTCTTTCATTACCCGCTACTCCTGAACACAGATGCATTGGTACAGCAGATGCTGTAATGCACACATCTCACCTTCATCTCTTAACAAAGTTGTTCCCTGCTAAGTAGCAGCTCCTGATCCCACTCGGCCAGGATTGCTAAGAAGAATCCAGAAATCAATTTGGTCCAAAAATACAAAGAAAATAATCTTAAAGTTTCTTTTTGTTCTAATTGCTTTGAAATAGTACATAACCATAGCATATTAGCAAAAGAACTAACACATATGTTTAAGACATGCCTTCCTTTTCTAACCATTTCAATCACTAAAAATTCACCTGTATTTTCTCTGTACGGTCCTCACAGACTGCTTATAAATACAGATAGAATGGAAAGACAGCATCTTAAGTTTATTCACTATTTGATTTGGTTTCACGTGTGGGTAATTTGAAAGCTCCTCTTGAACATCTTAATTGCTCTCTTCATAAAACTCAGGTTGTCAATATAGTGTAAGAGAGGTTAGTTCAAAAACAGGTGCTCAGAAATATTTTCTGGTTAAAAATTAATCAGTAAGAATCAATTTCATTTTGTACTGTGGATTAGGGAAACGGTCTATATTTTGCTATCTTTATGCAGTTAAAACTACCACTGGCACTATTGGAAACTACTGGCCTCTAAATCGGAAAGGTTTGACCTGAAGGACTAGCTTCGGTATGGTTATACTCTGTCAAAAATATCTTCTCATACAAATGCTACCTGGCACCTCCTAAATATTTGTATCCTTCATTAAATTAATGCTTTCCTGCATAATGAACAAGACAGTAGAAAAGATAGGTGTATTCCAATGTCTCACTACTAAGGTAAGAGATACCAAAATAAATTTGCAACTATATCACTATATCAATCTCCAGTATTACTGCATCAGTCCTATATCCATAATTAACTATCTACAGGTCAAATGTCTAATAAATCCTTAGAAATTAAATGTATAATTTGTCAAAACCATATGCCTTCATAAATTGATTATTCAGAATTTAGAAGCTTTTTAATTAGGAAGAAATTTATGCAATACCATGTGTAATAATTACAAATCAGCTCTTCTGTGATATTTTTGTACATCAGCAAAAATTAAAACATTGGAAAACATTACCAGGTCATTGCAATATTTCAATGTCAAAAGAAACACATAGTTTAAATCTAGAGGTTAAAGATATTTTCCCGTATCTTTTACATCTTACACGGCTTTAAGATCTCAGGACTGGAATCATTAACCAAATACAAAATCAATGAGAAAAAGATCTAATCCAACCATTTTCAAGTGCAGAGTCACTAAAAATGATTTATGCCACTGTAAAACTTTTTACCATGCTCCCGTAGTTTTACTAACAGCACATATTCTAAGTCAAACTTCCATTTTATGCTACACTGAACAGTATTTTGCTTCTTTTGTGTCTTCCAGCTAAAACTCCAAAAGCGTTTTACACTTTAAAAGTTAGTCTTCGTAACAAGCTCCAGGAAGAGGGCTATGACCTCTGGTTGCCAAATGGAAAACTAAAGAAAGAGAGTGTTAAGCGATATTCATTAACAGCATGCAAGAACCTAAAATCGCACCCCAGCTCTCCTGCTTTCCCCTCCTGTGTGTAAACCATGGGGCTATTCAGACCTGCCCCCCACCCCCAAGGGCTCTGGGTACTTCTATCAACATTTCATAGGAGAAGATTTTTTTTGACAGAGAACACAAAAGCTGCTTTGTTGGAAGTCTGGACACTTTTTTTTCTACCTAATAAAAACATGAATAGAAGTGGGACCTCAGCAAGCATATGGCAGAAAGTCTGGACTAACTGAAAAAAAGGGGCCTAGAAGAGTTTGCTCTCTGTCATTCTCCAATGTGTTTACTGCTGGACGTATATGGTGTAAATAAGAAGTATGCAGAACACGCCATAATGGAACATTGTTTATGTGCACATCCTGGCAAATGCATATACAGCACAGAGACTATTTCTAAGCAGAACATAAACACAAAGGGCGAGTGATGACAAACAAGTATTCCAAGGCAAGAAAAATGTTATTCCATATACAAACCAAATAAACTAAAGTGGTTTCTCCTCTGCTAAGATCCAACTGGCAGCTCTCAGCTGCACACACTATGTGGCTGTTAAAGAAATGAGAGACATCCCAGGCTTACTGGTTGGCTTTCCTACACTTCAGCAACCTCATTATGCTCCCAATATTAAAAAGAAAAACACAGTTAAGATTTTATTTCACTCTTTGCAAAAACAAAACAAAACAACCTTTTGTGTGAGCCTGAATAGGAGCTGGGAGATAGGGCTGATGCCAAGTAAAGACCATAAGGATTTAAGGCACGGCTTTCTTAGTCCGATTTCCCACTGAAAGATACGGACACATTTCTCTGTTCTGAAGGTCTCTCTCACAAACCTATTACACGGCTTTAGTAAGCAACACAATTGTGACAGTAACTTTGAGGTTTTGTGCTCCTGGCAGAATTTTTTTCCATTTAATCACTACTCGTAAAAAAGAGGGTTTACAGAACCCAAGTCCCTGCAATTTCAAGATAGCAAACAAGGGGATGAACTTCTTTTTCACTTACTTTTGGAGAACAGAATATCATGCTTTGACAGCTGTTATGTAAATAAAGGGGTGTAACTTTATTTCTTTAAAACTAACTTCAAACACATGCCTAACTAAAAGAGGAAGAAAAGATGACAAGTAGGAAAACAGCCGGTAGATTGACCATGCGAACTGTAGAGAGTAAACTGACAAAGCAGAGCTTCTGAGGTAATTAATACGCCTCTTTAGAACATTAAGACATTGGAAGCAAGGGGCTTTACTAATGACTGTACGGGGTGTAGAACTAAATATTCTGTGATGTCCTTCACAGAACGGCAAAGCCAGTCTGTGACTTCAAATTATTTTCAGATACTCAGAGAGTGCCTCACTTTTTTCAGAGCTCTAGATCAAGACCCAACAACGCATGGAATACTTCAGAACTGGGACCCAAATGTGTGTGTAAGCTCTCTACCAGTCTGTCAAGACCTGGATCCAAACGTCTTACTCTTCAGACTTCATGAAGTCTTGTGGCTTGGGTGCTTCAGACATTGAGAAGAGAGATAAAGCCTGCATTTGGGAATGTTTGTAATACTTACGGAATATACAGACAGTCCTAAAGTGAACCACACTGATTTGTTCTTTGATTCCTTTTTTTTCCAAAAAATGTATCAGTTCCATTATACAATACCGAAGGAAAAAAAAAAGCTTCAAAACCTTCTCACCTTCTCATCAGCCACTGGTTTAATGTTAATACTTCTGATTTCATGTCTTGCTTTAGAATCCAAAGGAAGCTTTTTTTTTTCAAATTGCCTTTGAATGCACAAACTCCCACCTCATCCTAATATGGTCTTGTATATCTCATATGTGCCTGCTACTTGTGTTTATATTCAGCAATTTGCAGAGCTGTAGAGTCATTTATGTGCCTCAGGAAATAAGATATTTCTAATAATTAGTCCTGCTTAAGTAATATTTAAATGACCTCAAGAACTGCACACTTGCAAAAGTTTTTCCAAAACTTTGCTGTTGCAAAGCTGATTTACAGTGGATGTTGCAGTGATTTTAAATAAAAGGTTTTTGTTAAAGCTCTGCCTTTTACACCCTCACACTCCCTTGAAAAAAGACTTTAAAATATGTGAATAATCTTAAATAGTTTTCCCAAATTGTTCTTTTGGGATTGTTCTTTTGAAATTGTTCACAACTTCATGGTGAGACTTAAAAAAAGCTTCTCTTTACACAATTTTCAGCAGTCAAGTGAGGATCTTAGTTTGTAGTTAAGAAGAATTCATTTATCAGGATTAAAAAGGATTGCCTTGGACGTGACCAGACTGGCATGCTGAAAGACCAAGAAAGTAAAGGACAAGGAAGAAATTCTCTAAATTACTATAATTAAGTACTTTAATTTGTATGCCAGTGTTATGATTTATTTTACCTTTTGGGAAGTCATAAATACAAGAGTGAATTCAGAACCTGCAAAAGAGGTGTCAAAAATGTACTGCAAATGCCCTGATACAAGAAAGTCTGTCTGCCTTACTAATTACTGCCTATTCTGTTCCACCCTGCACACTGTGATTTTACTAGATAACTACATGAAAATAGTATTCCTTATACTCTCCCCCATCTCTCTTTAAATTAAAACTGAATTGTTATTTTAACCCTACTCAAGTATGTAATATAGTGATGATTGTAAATCTTGGTGATCACAAAATCCCTTTGATTTATCCCTCAGTTTACTACCCTTAACAAACATAATCCTAAAAACAGCACAGGGGAAGATCTTATAGGCCTGAAAATGATGGAGGGGGAGCAAGGAATGACTATATACCTAAAGTACTGCTTCAGGGCTCATGATTTTCCTGTTGGGAGGCTTCCTGAATGCTGCTAATAAGGTCCTGTCAATGGAACCAGAAACATTTCTTCATAGAAAAAAAGGCCTTCAGTGTGGGAAGAAAATTTTTCCAGTAAAAAATTAATAAAAAGCTTATAGATACGGGATTTGACTCTAACAACAGACGTAAGTACCTCTAAATACATAAGAAAACATGAATATTATTAAAGGTGATATATCCACGCCACACATCCTCCCCCTCAAGAACTGAAGTCATGACTATGACAGCGTGCTCAAAGCTTATGTGAATACACTAGACCTAGCTTTAAACTATGAGTGACCACATGGCAATAGTTACTTCAGAATAGGCAAAAAAAAAAACATATTTATTTTCTGTTCACTATTCTGCACTGCCACAGCCACACTTTGCAAGAAAACACATGTAGATAGATGTTGGTATTTTACCAAAGATCACCTGCCTTGTCTATCAGCTCAGGCATTAGCCAAAATACAGCTACCACTTTACAACACGGCTAATCTTCATATCATTTTGGGAACCTGCATCCTAGCTCAAACTCTTCCACATGAATTTTGGAAGGTCTGTGCACAAAACCAGCTCTCCCTATTGACTCTACGTGTATTCATTCACTCCCAGATGCACAACTTGTATTCAAAGGATCTGCCATTACACAACCACATTGGCTTGTGGATACATGTGGGGATGATTCCTTACACATCTGTCCCTGAGCAGACCTGGCATCACTGTGGACAGTGTACCCCCTATGCTAGCTATCTGTGTGGACAACTCACAGGACAGCATTTTTGTCCACGTCCTGACCCTGCCTGCTGTTCTGATTGACTGTGAATCCTTTCCATCACCCAGGCTCTAACAAGCAACATGAACAGTAACCTTTAAGGTCATTCTCAGACAACTCTCACCACGTTTTAGTGGAGAAAGAGTCTGTGTGACTAGATGTGAGACTTCAAGCCCACATTTATACCACATAAGAAGTGCTGAAAGCAGTAACTGTGACAGGCACCATCTTTCCAGGTAACACTGCTAGTAAAGGGCTAGAGTTCTGATGAGTGCTCTTTGCTGTCTCTGGAATCATTCAGTTTGAAGAAATGGCTCTTTGATTAACGACATGCAGTACTTCCATCTCTTCATTTGACCCACCCAAGGAATCTGATTAAGAATTCTGAGGACCTATCCAAGAATTTCTGAAAGCTTCCAATCCATTCTTCTTATGGTGCTTTGCATTGCGTAATATTTAGGTATATTTGCAAGATGTCAGTGCCCTAAGTGGCAACATCCTCTTCCTGTGCTCAGCTACCAACTCAGAACTGACAAAAGGGGGAAAGGATCTTCTTGTTATTTACCATCTATACTTTCCAAACGCCCTCAGCTTAAATAGCAGTGATTAAATGGCTGTTCTCACAAAGATTTAGAAAATATCCTTATAGCACATTAATAAGACAGTTTACAACATGGGAATTCTGGTCACCTATCTGGAGTTTAACTGGAATCACAGGATGTCTCTTCATGTCCCCATTGGCACATTGAACTGGAGCGGAGCTTACTCGTCATGTTTTACCAACTTCATTAAAAAGGGCACAATAGTATTTTGAGTAAAGTGAAACTTTTGCTTATTTCTCACCAAGGAGAATGACATTCTGGAAATTAAAAAATGCTACATTTCTCCTACAACTAAGTGTGACATTGAGATAACCAAAATGCCCATGGTTATCACACCAGTAACACCGTGTTTTCTGGGAAGGTCCTAGCCCATCTTCCCTCATCAGCTGGCTCCCAATTCCATCTAATCATTAGTCATCACAGTTATCATTAACTTTGCCCTTTTCTAGCTAAAGGAAGAAATTTAGCCAGAATGGCAACTTTTTTCACATGCCTGGTATGCACTCCTTACCCTGCCTGGGATGTCCTCTGTTAATACGGATAGGAGAATTTAATGAAGACGAAGAAGTTGATAATCCAGCCAAAACACACACATCTGCTTAAGTACTTCTGGAACTATACCTCTAGACAAGTTTCCTCATTCTTTGTTCTGAAAATGCCAGAAAGG